TCAAAAGGCAGTACCCTTCAAGCTTTTGATTGAGACCACAACTCAAAGTCAAAATAGAGCTAGTAATCAACCCATAATATACAGATTGAGCTAATGCTAGGTACTCGGTTTACACACGCAAACGTGTTCCTACACATGTAGGTATGCATTTGGGGTGCTGATGAGAGAGGGAGGTGGGAATGGGAATGGAGGAGGAGACACCAAAACTTTGTTGTGGACTCAAGACATGTTTTATGGGTGTTTGCATTTGAAGGTGGAGGAATGCAGGACTCAAGGACATGACATTTACTGATTTAGTTGCTAACACTGCTATAGATTGGCCTTAGTATGTGTGTCTTTGTGTGTATAGGAATTTGCTAACAAGGACAAACAGCATGCCTCAGCTGGCAATTTCTCTTGCCTTCTGTACTGTCCTGTTTTCTGAGTAAGTTGTCTGCATGAATAACATTCCTGTCATAAAACATATCTTCTATAGAGTGCAAATCATCAATCCTATAATTTAATATAAGAACATCAATGTCAAGACATAGAGTACAGACATGTTTTATCAAAGCCAATAACTAAGTTGAAATATAGCTGTATTAATAAAGAATTGCGGCAGCTACAGTAGAAAACCTATTCAAATGGAAAATTGATACTATAACTTCTGTGTATTGTTACCGGATCTATCAATATGAAGATACTCAGCATGGCATATCATCAAGGGTTTCATTGACATTGGTCTGTGATCTCCTTATCTTGACATCATCAAGATAATTCTGATAAATGTAAGAGGCAAAACCACAGAGAGCCAGAAATATAGCAATTATCTTAACACCATTCATCCTGTCATGGAAAACTATCACAGAGGCAATAGGTGTCACAGCCAGAGACATGGTACTGATTACATTGGAGAAGAGAGAAGACACCATGAATATCAAGCCAACTACACCAACCGAACAAACTTGCCAAGTCACAGCAGTAAAAACTAAAGTCAGCACATAAGCCGTTCTTCCCTTTCCAAAACCGTCCATTTCTCCATCCAAACTCTTCCATTCCCCACTTGCAAAGAGACCAATGATTGAAACAATAGTAGCAACTAGTGAAGTGTAAATTTGCATTTCCAAAACCACAGAAAATGTTTCCTTTTTGATGATCTTCTGGAAGGAAAGCTGCATGAGGGAGAGCAAGAGAGAGTAAAGTACAGAAGCTCCAAGGGTGCAAAGGAAGCCAATGATGTATTTCCCCTCAGAAACACCAGACGGTGTTTCTGAATCATCATTTACCGCAATCAGAGCAGCAAATAACGAGAGGATGACCACAGAGTTAAGGATTAGAGCAGTGAATTTCTGAGAATTGATAAAGTAAGAGAAAACTGCATTAGAAGCTAACTGGCTGGCACAAATTAGGGAATATGTAGAAGCCGAGAGATACAAGAGCCCAATTGAACACAACAAGTTGTCACCAGCAATCATTGCTCCAAGAACAAGGTATATCAAACCAAGGGTCATAACGGAAGGTGAGGTCTGAAAATTTGAGTCTCCCTTCTCGGAAGGAAGGAGAAAAAGTGGGATGAAAAGAATTGGGAAGCCAACAGTCTGAACCAGGGTGGCCATCCATGTACTATTTCCACCTTGATCATAGTAAAATCTACCTAGAAGAACTGCAGCAGCTTGGCCAGCAACAAGGAAAAAGATGTTGATTGCTACCAACAGCCACCATTGCCAGCGCTTGAGTTTCAACAGTGGAGATTGGACTGTTAACTTCCCATCCATCTTGGCCAAAATGGGTTCTTGGTCCTCTGTTATTGGATTAAAATAAAATGCTAAATTATGTCACTCGAGATTATGGAAAAATCAAGACAAATAATAGAGTACCATTTAATAAGAATTAAATGAAGACAAATCAAAACCAGACATATAATAAGAATTAGCTATGCCTCCAAATGGAAAAAAACAGGGAATCTAACAGTAATTAACGTCTCGTAATCAATTAATTACCCAAGATTTCATCTCATTTGAACACACTAGATTTTGATTCCAATGAGAACCCATTATAATTTCCACCCTACAGATGAGAAAGGGAGGGACAATAAATGAACCTGGTATGCTGGTCATTGTGGCCTTGAAGCTTTGAGAATAACAATCAAGCAAGAGAGAAGAGGAGGCACTCCTCACTTTGATTCAATTCTGCTACTCCCTCTGACGACCTTCCAATTTAATTAACCTTTGTTTACCATTAGCTTGAGGCAGTAGCAGCAGCACAGCAATATTGAAATGGCAAAATGAGTTGCGTATGGTTCTCCAGATTATTATTGCGGGAATTAGATTCCTTTTCCATTATTATTATTATTATTTTTTGGTTGAAGATTCGGGAGCAACCGCGATTCCCGAAACAATTATAGCCCAGACATTCCACCACCAGACATTAGTGCTGCACTACTAAATAAATACGGAATTTTTTAATCCGCACCCGATCCAGTTATGCTAAGAGTGTAACGGTACACTCCCCCGTGTTACGTTGTTTCGTACGAGAAGAAAGCTATGGGGTTGATTTTTTTTTTTTACAAGGATAATGGTTAGAAATTCAGTAGAGTTAATTTGTTAGCAGTTGAGATTTCCCAGAATGGTGAACATTCCACCCTATATAAGGCGCACGGCCATTAGGTCGTAAGTTGGTGGAGTTCATGACGGTGGTAGAACTCGAAATCTTGACCTTCGTCTCACCCAAACCCTAAGTCTTGGGGACCAACCATTGGACCTCAGGCTCGGTTGGTCAGATTTTTTGATTGATACTTAAATAAATATTTATTTATTAATCATGTTTTTTATAATTAATAAAAAAAAAGAATGTAACAGTAAATTATTTTTATTAAATAATTTAATTAAATAAAAATTAATTTTTATTTTTTTAATATAATTATTATAAAAAAA